TCTTAAGCAAAATCTTAAATATCACAAGCAAATCGCAACACGTTTCAGTCAAAACACGTCTGTACGTTAATTTGGCGATTTTCTATTATTACAAGCCGCCCACAAAAGCGACCGTCAGAAATACACATGCACACAAACACTCTCTCACACACTCTCTCACACACACTCGCACACACACACACACATACGCAAATCAAATGTGGCACAAACGAAGGTTTGGCCTTGAAACCTGGGCTATATGCGTAAAAAATCATAAAAAATAAACAACAGCAACAAATACAAGTGATAAACAATTGTTTTCTCTTTTTTCATTTATTTAGTTTTTTTTTTTGTAATTTTTTATTTTGGTTTTTTTTTTTTTGTTGATTGGCTGGTCACGAATTTGTGTGTTGGCTGTTTGCGCTTTTAGTGCCCTTTTTGTTGCGAAAATTACATAAAAAACAATTTGAAAAAAAATTGCAAAACCGAATTTCAAACAAGCAACAACAACAACGACGCGTGTTGCATTTGAATTAGAATTTCATAAAACATAAAATTGAAATTGAATTTGATTTAATTTTCGATAGCTCGAAATGCATTTCATCAATGCAAGCGGCAGTTATTTTAATTAGCTAATTTCCAACGAGGCCAAAGCAAGCGATGCGGGAGAGTGTGGGCCTCAAAGCATGGTTTTTTTTTTTTACCCATACACCCATTTGTCGGGTGGCTTTTGGAGAGGGGCAACATTTGTTGGTATGCATTTAGAGAAGGTTTTCGGTTTGGCCCCAAGGCCGACGCCACCGTTACCAAAGCCGGGAGAGACCCAAACTCAGACTCTGTTTTCTGTTTTGCATTGTGATGTGTGTTTTTAGATCCAATTTCAGTTTCAGTTCCGCAAAAGCTGCCGCCATGTCCGTTCACATGTTGCCGCAAAGTTTACAATGCCAGCATTTCAATTTATTAGTTCGAGTGTGCTTTTGTGTGTGTGTGTGTGTGTGTGTGTGTGTGTGTGTGTGTGTGTGTGTGTGTTTATGTTTGCTTTTTATGATTACTAAATCTACTAATTGGTCTGGCATCGTCTGTCATTTGTCACACGCGAGCCGCTTTATGGCTCAATCCTCTTCTTAGCCCACAGCTGGTAATTTCTCTCTGTGCGACATAAAGTTCTGAATGCATTAAAGTTCAACAACTTGGCAGAGTTATCAACAAAGTTCGGCTGTTTAAATAAGCTTGCAGACACATTTTGATATAGTTGCCCAAAATTGATATGTGTCGTCCACAAAAGGTGTTCAGTCAGGAGATGGTTGTGCCGGAACTCAATTCTTGTATTGGAACAGAAGAACCTTTGCTCGAGAAACATTTTTGCTTGCTCGGTTCACGATTCACACTAGTTTCTTAGCTCTCAGTTCAGTGAAGCGTGGATTGGATTTGAGCTTTTTTTTATCACACATTTTGTTATATATATTCAAAAAAACTCGAGTACTATAATTTTTAAAATTGCCTGAATAGCTTAGAAATTTTTAAAATATTTTCTCTAGAACCAAATCAGGTTCGACTGTTCTCTAATCCAGTTTAACTTTCGGTCGAGAGAAATAAAAAATAAAAAGCAGCTTTAATATCAACTCAAGAATATTCTTGATGTTGTTTAAAAGCGTTACACATTAGGTTAGACTATTATAAGACCCTTGAGCTGGGGCCATGCGGTAGAACATTCTCTAGTTTTCAATTATATTGCTGCTAATGGGTATAGAGAACAGTGTGCTGTGATATAAAAGTGTCGTAAAGTGCATATAAATAGAATTATACGATTAGTTTGGGCTTTGACATTGCTGAAAATTCCATTCATTTATGGCCTGCTATATGGTTCATACATATACATACATACATGTACATACAAAACTGTGCAACGTATTATTTTTAGCTTCTGGTCTTAAGGTAACATATATATATATTTATATATATATATATTTGTATAACAAATGCCCATTAGTTGGCGCCCAAATTGATGACGCCAAAGTTATCGTCAAGTTCAAGTGTGTCTCGCTCTCTCTCCCACTCCCTCTCACTCTTCCCCTCTCACGCTCTCTCTTTCTAGCTGTCTAGCCCAGCCAAATTGATGTGTCTCCAGTCGACCTTATCGATGCTTATCGGCCGACCGTCAGTTGGTTGCGCACTCTCAGCTCAGTTGCATGCAATTAGACGCTATCCATTTGTGAGGTAGTCACAATAGCACATACGGACACACACACGTACGCACACACACATATACGTACACACACAGACACACTGTCATACATAGAGATAGGAGCATGTGTAAAGTTTGTTTCACATGCACTTGCTGTTATTATTATTGGTGTTTTTTTTTTTCTGTTTGTGCAGTGCATTGTGTCTGTCTATCTTTAGAATTTGGCCAGACAATGGCCGGCAGCAGCAGCAGCAGCAGCAGCCACTGGAGCCGCAGCAGTCGCGACTGTCTAACACTTTGATAAACCACAGACGCCCGTCAGCGTTAAACAACAAGCCAAGCAGCAGCAGCAGCAGCAAAGATCATAAGGCCCACCGATTTATGTGCATATCTGACAGATACAGATACATGTACAAATACAGATACAGATACATATACAAAAACTGCAGCTAAATCAAACACGGTCGCTGGCTTGTTTGTTGTCAGTTGGCAGTTGCCGCTGCTGCTGCTGCTGCTGCTGATCTTGCAATTGTAGATTACAACAACAACAACTTGCGGCGCCTGGCATTGAGAGCGTTAATTGAATCGCAAACAGTTAACAGCGTTGCTACGTTGCTGAAATGCCAAGCGAAAGCTTCTTTCAGCTCTCTGGCTCTAGGCCTGAAAACTGCTTTCAGAAACGAAACGATTAAACGCTTCACTTTCATCGTGTGCGTGTGTGTGCGTGTGTGTGGCCAAGCACTGACCTATGTTATCGCACCTGTATCTGACAGATACACTTGTTGGCAACGATAAAGGCCAAGTGCTGTCTTATCAACTGATAAACTGCCGGAAGAGCCAAATAAAAGTTGTTCATGCATCAACATTTTTTTTGGAGCTTTATTCTGTATAAAATATATGTCGGCCATCTGATTATGCATAGGTATTCCGCTTAAGAGCTAATCTAGCTGGCTTTATCAACAACAGCTATCTGTTCCTGCTTTCGTTTCAGGTAGATAGAGAGAAACAAATTAGATCAATGTGAATGTCAAATAGATTGCTAAATGATCAGCAGATATCGATTAAGTTTAAGTAATTTATCGATAAATCAGATTTATTGCAGTCACGACTTTTTTTTTTTTAATATGATCTGAAACTTATATTAAAACTGTGTTCCAAAAAAACTATCAAACCGAAACCCAAACCGATACATAGTTTTCTTCCGTTTCAAATAGAAATAGCATGCGAATAAGAATAAATATTTTAATCGATAGCTTAATCGATTGACCATAGTTGTAGATATCAGGTCAGGACGCAGCTCTTATCGACCGGGCTCAAGGATTTAAGCGCTCGGCTTATCAAGCAGCGAAGGCAGCGCAATCAGGCAATGTGGTATGCGTACCCTGCGACAGATCAAGTGCAGTTGCTTGACAAATAATAAACGTAACAAGGCAACGGCTTGAGCGTGTTTGCTGCTATCAGTGCACGCACACATGACCAAGATACAGATACATTTCTCAGATACTTTTCACCTTGCTGCTGCGATAACAGCTGCTGCAAACAATGCAAGGACGCGGCACGTACGAGCATCGCATCGGAGTTGAGCTCAGCTGAGCTGAGTCTTATCACTCGCACATTCTCGTTCTCGTTCTCGCTCTCGCTCTTTTTCGCCCTCTCTCTTTCTCTGTGTGTGCGTAACTGTAACAATTGTATCTGTTGTTTTTGCTGCTGCTGCTGCTGCCGCTTGTTGCTGGAGTGGATCAAGGCTGGAATGACTGTGCAGGTAAGCGAGAAATGTCTACCTGGCCACGGGCCACGTTCCACGCAATTCAAATCCGCTATGTCCCATGTGTGTATCTGTGTGTGTGTGTGTTTGTTTGTTTATCTTTTTGTTGCTGGCTCGGTGTGTGGCAGGATCGCTGCAACAACAAGTGGCAACAGTTTTGCCGCCAAATGGCAACTGGCACCGGCTGCGAGACTTCTTCAAGCACCTTCTCACTATGCCAGGCGATCGCATATATATATATATAAATATATAATCACCGATATTGTGGCCATAAATTGTTGCTCTTGTTGCCTGCCCCAGAGCCGCGATGCTGCTGCTGTTGTTGTTGCCGTTGCAGCGGCTTCTTGTTGGCCGTTGCGTAAGTTTATCTTTTAGGTTTTTTTTTTTTTGTATCTTTGGTCCGGCTGCTCGGCCGTTTGTCCTCTTTCGACTTGTCTGCATATCTTTCTCTTTCGAGCTCTGGCTCTCTCTCCCTCTCTCGCTTCTCTCTCTGACTATCTCTCTGTGTAGTTCTTCAAATTTGTTTTTCTTTTTTTTTTTCTCTCGCCGAATGTTTTGGTTTCTTGCTCGTCGTCGTTCTCGGCCGCGTCGACGTCTTCTCGGCGATTTGTATGTCTATTAGTTGATACGAAAATTTCGTGTATTTCCATTCAGTCTGCATTCAGATCTCCAGCCATCTACAACTCGTAAAACGCGCTCAAAAGCTACATATATATAAATATATATTTATATATATTTTCCAACATTTTCGAAATAAAAACAAAACAAAAAAAAAACGTGAACAATAAAAATAATAACTAAACGGTTTTTCGTTTTGTTTTTTGTTTGTATCTTGTGCCTTGGTGAAATGTGTTTTATTTTATTTAGTTTGTTTTTGTCTTCTGGCAATGTCAGCTTCAAGTTTATAGCTTAGCAGCTTATGTTTAATACAAGTGCGCTTTGAGATACAGTTAAAGCTACAGATTGAGATACATACCCCGAAACCTTGCGCTAATTGGATACACTTAACTGCTGCTGCTCGGACTCACGCCTTGGATCATCCATATATATATTTATATATATATATCTGACAATCAACAGCAACATCAAGTGAGTGAAAATCTTTAAAATTTTCAATTGCGTTTCGGCAGTTCGCAAATAGTTTCCCACGCTCGTCGAATAATGCGCAAATTAAAAAACTTTTAAGTGGAAAACAAAAATAACAACAACAAAAAAACACAAGAAAAACATGAAGAAACAGCTATATATATGGCAAGCCGAATATAAAATACCCTTTGAGGCATACGACGTATGATCTTGTAGATATGAGAGGAAAACTCTGACGCAACTGAAAATATCTTGAAAAACAGCGTTTTTTCCTGTATAACTATTTGATATAGTACTTAGGATTTTGCTCATATGTGAGAAACATACAAAAATTGAATTAATTACTGATCATTTCTATGGCAGCTATATGCTATAGTGGTACGATTCGGCTGGTTTCAGCAACAGACAGACATACCTATGTAAGGTCTTACGATAGATTTATTCACTGTATACTAATACATATACTCTTTGGGATCGTTACACATCTAATGACAACCTTATAATACCCCGTAGAAGGGCATCAAAATGGCAATGCACTCGTACTGTAATAGTAATTAGGAAAAGATACAGACCAGGCCAGACCTGGCAGACCAACAGACACCTGTACTGTGCAGGGCTGGCTGGGTGACGAGAGATACATTTCGTTTTTAAAGGTAAACAAACGCTGTCTTACGAGTGTTTTGTAAATATAACAGCGAGCACAATGGCTGAACTGGAGCGGGACGTCGCGTGTGGTGGGGGGAAGGTGTATGGTGTATGGTGTGCGGTGTGTGTGTGTGTGGGAATTAGCACAAATGCTTGCAGGTTGAGGCAGCTTCAGGTTCTCACGGACAACCTGTTGGCTTGCCTGGACAACGGGGGCTGACTGAGGTGAAGTGTTGGGCAACGGATGGGGCAGCTGCGGATGGGTGTGGGCGTGCCAAGTGGGGGGTCAGCTAGAGCCATGACCTCTGCAGGCTCTGCAGCAAATTTCGAATATTATTTTGGGTTGAATCAATGAGAATGAAGTGAGACAGAAATGAAAATGAAAAGCACATGCAAAACAATCAACAGCCGCAAATAACAACCATCAACAATAACATTTGATTTCGAATATTGTGTGTATGTGTGTGTGTGTGTGTGTTTGTGTTTGTGTGCGTCTTGTGGAAAGCACCGCAACTCCACAAGCAGAAACAGGCGCAGAAACAATTACAATATGAGTCAAGCAACTGCCAAATATTGCCCTATACTGTGCGGCAGGGCATGCTGGGCATGCACACGCAACTTGTTGCTGTCGTACTAGGTTTGTTTCTTTCTTTTTTTTTTTGTTTTGTCTTTAAATTCATCTACATTTTAAGCCATTTACATGACATAAGGTTGCGTAAGCCTGAACAAATGCCTGCCATATATCAGACTAAGCTGCTGTCAAAGAAATTAGCCTGCCGATGTCTTTCCGGGCCATCTGAGCGCATCTTATGCAAATGGCGTGGCATGCCACATGCAGAGGGTGGAGTGAGGCAGGAAGCAGCTTATAAACCAAAACACAATTGATATGATGTGTGGAGGGGATCCCAGCTGTAGGCAATGTTTTGTAGGGCATTCGCTAGGCGACTTCTCGCCAAGGTTGTCTCTGGCTCTGCCAATTGATGGGTTCTTGCACGCGATTCGCGCTGTTGTTTGCTTTTTTGGACTTTTTGCGGCGTTATTTGTTGCTGTTGTTTTTGTTGCTGCCTTTTCATTTTGATTGGACTCAAATTTCGTGCTTCGCTCGACGTTCAGCGGGTTTTCGGCTGGCCCAACTGCGACCAAATGTAAATCGATTTGAATGCGTTTTTATGAATTCGGCACGCGTCTGCGTGCGCATTTCAGAGCTGCTTTCGTGCCGCTGTCCATTGACTGAACCAGCACCAGCAGCAGCGGCAGCTGCTTGTTGTAAGAAGCCGTAGCAAAAGCAGCAGGCACACCCACACCCACACTCGCACACACGCACCCACCCACAAACACACACACACACACGCGCACACGCACACAACTGGGGCAATTGCATGCCGTCTGCCCCTTGACGCCGTTATGCTCGTCCGTCTCGCTCTCGAGCTGCAAAGTATCATAAACAATGTTCAATTAAATGTTGTGCTTCCGCCAACAAAATTAAGGCTAAAACCACAGACAGCTGCTAGAAACACAAATTCAAATCACATTTCAAACTGCATTTGCGCACAGATTTTCAATTTCGCTTTCTTAACTCCTCTGAGTGTATCCTGCTGTGCATGGCTGAAAGCAGTTCATTTCAGCTGTTCCTTTGATTGTATTAAACAAATGTTGCCCAGTTTAAACCTAATCAAGCATTTATTATTAATCTGCAGCAACTGTTGATCAGTCAGTCAATCCACATTCGTTCAATCTTGGGTAATACAAGAGCTCCACTCAACAAATTTTGTATGTAAACTCTTGTTAAGCAAACGCAAGAAACGTTCCCCCTACTTTAACAATAGTTTCTTTGTTTAGATAATAACTACTTATTATTACAAATATGATACAATTTTTTTGTCTAGCTGTTTGATTCACATATTTTATATTTCTTATAACTCGCCCGTACTCAGTTCTTAAGCCTAGTTAAAGGAGCTTGTCTCACTTGCATACTAAATACAAAAAAAATGTTATATTATTATTATAATTATAAAAGAACGTTTTGTATGCCCTGATTTTTGACGTATTCATATATTTGATAACACAGTGCAGAGATTACAGGGTATTTGCGATTTGTTCAATTTCGCCTAGAGCTTGCTTTGCTTTATACTTTTATAATTTTTTCACAAAATGTTAAGCCCATATATTATTTTATATTCTTCATCGGTATCAGCAGCCGAGTCAATATAGCCTGATCAGATTACGATATCAAACAACTAATAAAAGTGGTGTAAAAACTTGATTGTCTTTGATGAAATCTTCACCGACCTTAAAAGTTACGAAACTTACCTACCTCACTTTCTTCACACTCATGAGCAAAAGTCGTACAATATCGCGTCAGCATATTATATAGCTCTATAGGAACAATCAATCGGAAAGGAAGCTGTCTAGAAGAGTATTGCATCGTCGGCGTGCTAAGGCTAGCCTCCCATCTCCTGTTTATTTTGCAATTGTGAACGATGAGTTTTGGCATCCTCAACACCCGCTGCCCGGCTAAGAGGCATGCCACCTGCCAGCACAAGCAACTAGCAGCTAGCATTTAGCAGACGCTGCGTGGTGATTGAAAACGGGCTCGTAATTGCGTTTCTCACGCATTTTTCACACGCAACGCATTTGGTGTGGAAATCAATTTTCCATCTTCAATTTTCAATAAATACGCAAGTGGTTTATGATTGTGTGCGTGCGCATGGAGGCCCGGGGTCAGTCAGGCCGATATCAAATGATGCATAGACTTCGATCATGCCACAGCTCGACGCGAACAAAGGGCGACAGTTGTTTGAATTTCATAAGTATTTATTAGATAAGTTTCTGCTTCTGGAATTTAATGGAATTGCCAGAGACGATGATGTCAGTTGAGTCAGTTGCAGTTGGAAGATCGTGAAATTGGCTCAGTTGATAGTTGGCAAAATTGCGAGTCGAGGTTTTTTTTCGTTGAAATTGTTGAAGATGATGCGATCTAACAGTTCTTATATATATATATATATATATATATATATATATATATGTATATGTATATATATTATAATTATTATTAAATATTTAGTGAATGCGCATTTATTAATTACTGGGCTTTAAGTTAATTGTTGTGCAAATTAATTCTTCACTATCATGGCCTCTAACAACAGCAACTATTTGGTATTTCCTGAGCGGCTATATAACAATGCGCTGATCTCATGCGAGGCAAGGCGAGGCGAGGCGAGGCGAGTCGAGTCGAGTCGAGTGCTTTATCATAGCATATCAATTGATTGCTTGCCACAGGCAGCATGCCACTGATGTGGCTATAAATAGATAAGCTTGGTGGCAGCATCACTTTCCCCGCTTTGATTTAGTTGCTGCTGGAATTTTAATGGCCGACTTGATGCCTGCTGCTAAATAATCCGGTAGTTAAGCAGTTCGCACGAATTGTAACGGTTCTCAAGTGCGTTGCCAGCAACAGCAGCAACAACAACAACAGCAGCAGCAGCAGCAGCAGCAGCAGCAGCAACTACAACAACAGTTACAGCGACAACTTGGCAGCCACTGTCGCCACTTGGCCATAGGTTTAGGCCGCCTTTTGGCTGCTTGGCCAACGTGATCGTTGTCGACTGTTGACTGTGGTTGTTGTTGTTGCAGCTGTTGCTACCACGCTGAGTGATTGTTGAGCTGCCAGCAGCGGTTGTTGTTGCTGTTGTTGCTTTTGTTGTTGTCGTTGTCGTTGTAGTTGTCGTTGTAACTGCTGTTATTGGCATTGGGCACTGCGGCTGGGCAAAGCTGTTAAACGGCTATGAAAACTAAATGACACCAACACCGCCGGCAGCACCATCTCCCGCCCGCATCAGCAATAAATAAACCACAAGAGCGGTGTAAAATTGCGTTCCAGTTGCCTGCTGAACTACTCCGAGCCACTTGAAGCGCTTGCCCCCTTCTGTGGCTCTTGTTGCGTAGCAGCAGCGACAACAGCAGCTACAACGTTTTTCTCTTTTAGTATTTTGTTTCATTTGTGCTCGTCGACTGTTTTGCATTTTCAATTTTAACTACATTACTGAGGCCCAAAAACTGGTTGATACTATTTAGCAGTATTACCTATAAACGGAGCTACAACAACAACAGCAACAACAACAGCAACAGCAACAGCAACAACAGCAGCAACATGTAACAATTCACGTGCGTAGGCAACAGCAACACCATCGAAACCAGATTTGTGAGATACATTCGTTAGCAACGGGTCGATTGTATAATTCTTTGGCTAGCCAGACATTGACATACTCGCCGGGCCAATCTTTGTGTGGCTAGCTGAATGCATAATAAGCCACTTCTAATGGTCAACAGCGAGCACTAGCATCTGTCTGTGTCTCGGC